TTTTTCTGAACTTGTGGTCATGCAATAGTGAGCAGCTGCTGAAGGGTTAAGCTTTCTTTGTGCTGCCGTGTTTTGTAGCAGGGCAAGTTGTGATCTTTGGCTGCCTCTTCTACTACCATGGTCCAAAACTGTATCCACCCCTTGTTACAAGCTCTGCTTGGACACATTTTCACACAATTCATGACTAATCCCAGGGACCATTTGCAGGAGTTTCTGATCCTTATAACATCTGATGAAAGACAAAACAGCAGGGTTGCCTGCAAAACAGTGCTCAGAGCTAAGGTTTAGCAGGAGTAGTTTTCCTGGATGGATAGGGGAGTGACAGAGAAAAAGCAAGAAGAAAGGGCAGCCTGCAAATATACAGCAAAGCTAAGTCCTGTCTACCAATGCAAACCAGAACTAAATCTATGTGGTCCATCCAGTCTGTTCTTTTTTGTTCTTTTTTTTTTTTTTTTTTTCTAGTACAGAACTTCTGGGACATCAAATGAAGTAGCAAATTGTAGGGTACAATGTCACACTTTTCCATGAAACACAAAGCTAACTTGTAAAATTCTCCACTGCGGGATGCTACAGACACCAAAAATGTTGAAAATCAGACAGAAAAGTTTATGAAAGAAAAACCCAATGAGGAAAATTAAATTTAAAAACACCAGCACTGGCTCAGAATGTCCCTTAGACATAGATCAGAGTAGACTGGAAACCTCTTTTGGAATATTTTGCATTATTCTTTGGCACTGCTCTTGGCTGCTAGAGAAAACAGCAGGCTGGGCTGTGGCAGGGCCATGGATGTTCTCATTTTCTGGTCAAAATGTGGAGTTTTTGTTCTACAACTTGACTCATGCAGCTGTGCATCCTCTGTAGAGAGACCAGGGGGTGCCCTCTCTTGATCCCAGCAGATCCCCTGTACCAGACTCTCCATCACTGGCAATCTTCCAGTCAGAAAGAGATGTTTCCCTGCAATGCATCTAATGCGAGGGTGAATTCAGGGCAGCCTCAGCAACGGCGTTCGTGGATGCCAGGACAGAGGCTCACGCATGACCACACACTCTGCGAACACAGGAATTGCACAAGCGACACCTTCCCCAAGAAATGCCCAAGAAAGAAGGAGACCAGACTGCTCTGCTGCAAGTCCTGGCAGGTGCTAAAGCTTGTTTTTGCCAGAAAAGCAAACAGGTATCGCTAAGCCACAGAGCACAGATCTCCGCTTAGCATGAAGGTGAAGTTGCTGCTCTGACTAACTACGCCCAAAGGAACAATACAAGCAGGGCATGAAACGTTTGCTCAGCGCAGACTGATGAAGCAATGACTGTAAAATAAGGAAAAATCTCTATGAACTATTAGAGGAGTCTATCTACACAATAATATCAGAGTTTGTTTTTGAGAACTGACTATATTCTTATGCTTTAGCATATTCTCAGCTTTTGTAAAGGACAAAAGAGGGAGATTTTTATGCTTAGCTAAGAACAAACATGTCACTAAAGACTGTGAGTACCAGGCTAGCTCTAGCCTAGGGAATACAGAGCAATTGCTACATCTTGGATAAAACCAAGACTTTCAGCCGAGACTAATGATCTGAAGCACAGGTATTTTCCCAAAAGTCAGGTAGAAGAATTTGGCACTAGCTTGTGAAAACTGCAAAAGACTTGCAGAGGAGAAAGAAACTTGAGCACAGGAGAAAAAAGGCAGTGCTTATTGCATAAAGAGAGTTTTGTTTTGCCCAATGAACCAGTGAAGAAAATCATTAGAAGCAAAGTGAAAAGATATTTCAGCTCTCAAAGTAGGAAAGGATCCCATAAGGAGAGACTTGATGGTCATAGGAATGCTGTAAAATTACCAACAAATTCCAAAGTGCTGAGAACACTGATGAGCGATGAAGGGGAAAAGCGGAGTTTCAGTGTTTATCTTGATCTGTAAATTCTTTGTGATGCCCACAGAAAGAATTGCTCAGTTTTGAATTCTTTCATGAAACATGAGAGTAAGCATCTAGTTTAAACTGTCCCTGGAAAGCAAAACGTAAATTGGATGTTCATAATGCTGCGACTCCGGCATGGAGTTTTTTTACTGATTGCCATAGTGTTCAGTGGTCAATACGAACAACAGACTAGAAGCTCTTATTTCTACACAGAAAGAAGCAGACCTGTGCCCAGAAAGGCACAGAGCAGTGCTTGTGTTGCAGCCTACTCAGGCTATGGGAGGTCCAAGAGCACTCGAGCATATCTCAGGAGGCGAGTGGAGCATGGAGCTGAGCACTGATTAATACGTCCTATTCCTTATTTAGCCCTTCGTATGTCCCTGTCACTGTGGCAGCTTGAGCGCAGGAGCTTGTGAGTAGAGGTATGCTCAGTTCTCAGCTCTCGCACCAGTGAAACTTTGCTGCACACCAGGCCCTTCTAGGAAGGATTCCAGCTGACGTGTACGATACCGTCAATATTAGCCTGAGATAAATGGGATTTTGAGTGGGCTGGCTTGGGCTGAGTTCACACAGTTGTTTCTCCGAGTGAGAGCAAGGGAGTGCTGTGCTCCGGAGCCTTCCCGAGGCCAGCACACGAGCACAGATGTCCATCCATGTTCACGCAAAGCCAGCCTGCTGTGCTCACAGCCCACTAACTAACACTGCCCAGTGCAGCACCAGTTGGGGATGGAGGAGCAATGGGACTGCTGCACAGCCTCTCCATAAACACAGCATCCATTTCCAGGCAGCTGCAGTCCCACAAAATCCCTCACAGCATAAGGCTATCTCTACTCAAAGCTTCAAGATCTTCTGAAAAGGGAAGAAACTGCAGACGTGTGCTATTTTAGTATATGTCCAAGCAGTCAACTTCATACTGTACACAAATTTGGCACAGGCTGGCCCAAAGGTGCCACCATGTCCCGAGGAGAGCTTTTCCCAAGGCCAGAGTGGACCTGGATTGGTGGATCCTGGAAGGACCAGAGTGGTCCTTCCCGGAGCCAGCAGCATAGGCAGAGGGCTCCATCATGGAGCTCATGCACACAAGTGAACTGCATCTATCTCCTGGCCTCAAGCCTGCTCTTGCTTTCACAGCATAGGCTCCTTCCTTCCCAGTCCAAGCGTGGTCAGAACACTGACACTTTGGACTCCTCCCCTTGCTTTCCTAGAAGGTTCAGTAGGATATCCAAGGCCTTGCCACAAAAAACAAACAAACTAACAAAAAACACCTCTGTTCCCCAGCTTCAGCTGCTCAGGACCTAAGGCTAAAGGATCTAAACCTCCTAAAAGCATCTTTGGGACTTGCACACCTGGACCCAGGTTCATTGCTCATCTCACAGAGTCAGCAAGGATCTACCTGCTCATCTAGGGGTGGCGTGGGGGTCGGGAGCAGAGGTGAGTCATTTCAGCATGCTGAAGCACCTGGGAACACTGCCTGTTCCTTTGAAGATGGGCATTATTGGATCAATATGATTACTCAGATACCAATGGTCAAACCCAGACACTCCTAACCCTGCTCTCCTTGGGTTAGAATTGGGTTTTTTTTGCTATCCCTCCTTATCAGACAGGGAAGGAGCAACCCCAAAGGCCAGCACCACCCGGTTTTCCTACTCCTTGTATAGAAACCTTGGAGAATATACACATCTCTGTATTCACATCTCTATATTCATCTCTGACTTTTTTTTTTCAGTGCAAATTCATGTCTTTCCTTTTTTTTTTTCAGCCTCCCAGAGCTGTAAACCTGGCGCAGATAGACACCGAGTAAAGCACCATTGCTACACATGCAGCCTTGTAGCTACTGTCAATATGCAATTGGGGACATGATTAGGAATATTTACTAACATATGACTAACAAAGATTGATCTCTTCAGAGATGTCCAGAAAGCTGGGGACCAGCAACTGCAATATTTTCACAGCAAACTGGACTTGCTCTCTCTCTCTCCTCCATGTGGTTGGATTGCAGTTGGTTTTCTCCCCTTTGACCCCCCACCATTGCGCAGTATGGGTCAGGCAATCACAAGTCTGTTTGTTTGCCTGTTTGCAGATCTCGGGAAGCAGCCCTCGCAAAATCCCCTAAGTCATCAGAATGCCGTAAACCGCGATGTCAAAACAATACAACCCCATCCCCACCTCCAGCAAGGCCTTTATCAGTAATTACCGCCTGTTTATCTCAGACTCTGGAATTGCACCAGACACCCACTGCAAGTCCCCTCCGTGCAGTCTGCGGCCAAGGCAGCCGCACCACCCAGGCCATGCCATGTGCTCCCAGCTCGCACAGAGACAGTATTTCCTCACTCCGGCTCTCCTGAGTCCGGATTTGCCGGTATTCAAATATTCACATAAAAGAAAGGAAAAGCGTGGTACCAGGATCACTACCTGACTGGGAAGGATCGCTCCCTTCCTGGTTTGTAACCAGCCCTCTTGTTCGATAAACCTTGGCACGTCACCTGGCTCACAGAAGCATCTGAAAATCTAAATCTCTCCTTTAACAGAGATCAAGGAGATTAAGCACATGCTCCTTATTAAAATGTTAGATTCAAACTTTGGATTCAGGGTCCTGGAAGCATTTGTACATGGATGATCAGTGCTTGCCCAGTGGCCTCTTTTTAACTCGTTCAAAAACGATAATAATTTGCAAACATTTCCCTAGTGTTTCCCTCGCAGCAACTTATCCCCACGTGTGCGGAGAAGCCGGGCGGGGAGGCTGCCCGGTGAGGAAGCGCTCGAGGGAAGCGGGGAACATTTTCCCGCCTTTCCCCCCTTTTCCCGACGCCGCGGCAGCCCCGGGAAGCGGCAGCGCGGCGGGGGCAGCCGCCCCGTCCCGTGTCCCGTGTCCTGTGTCCCGTGTCCCGGGTGCCGGTGCCCGCGGCCCGGGGGCGGCCCGCGCCGTCGGGGAGCTCCGCGGGGCGGGGCGGGGGCGCGGACCGGCAGGGGGCGCCCTCTGCGCGGCCTTAAAAGGGGCGCGGGGCGGCGCGCGGCCGCCACTGCCCCGCGCGGAGCTCCACGCGCCCGTCACGCATCGTCTCGCCCCGGCGGCGCCCCCCGCCACCCCCGCGCAGCCATGGCCAGCGGGGGCCTGCAGCTCCTGGGCTTCGTGCTCGCCTTCCTCGGCTGGATCGGCATCATCATCAGCACGGCCATGCCCCAGTGGAAGATGGCATCTTACGCGGGGGACAACATCGTGACGGCCCAGGCGCTCTACGAGGGGCTCTGGATGTCGTGCGCCATGCAGAGCACGGGGCAGATCCAGTGCAAGGTGTACGACTCGCTGCTCAAGCTGGAGAGTAAGTCGGGGCGAGGGGTGTCCGTGGCGGCCCGTCGGGGGTGGCCGCGCAGGGGCTGCCCGTGCTGTCCGGGCTGGGCTGCTGCTCCCGTCGCAGCTCCGCCGGCCACGGGGGTCTGAGCCCCGGTTCTGTCGGGGGCTCCGCTGTTTTTGGTGTCCGTCCCGTCGGGGCTGGGCGAACTGGGGGTGCCGGCGGGGGCTGGGGAGCCGCCCCGCAGCCTCCCGCTCTGCGGGGACATGGGGGACTCAGTCCTGCAAAGCGACCGGGCAGAACAGGGTCTGTCACACCCCGACGACACCCGCGTGCAGGGCCAGCTCCTGTCCCCAGTGCTGCTTAGTGAGGCGCTCTGACCGCAAGCACGCGCGCTTTTTAAATTTATTATTATTATTATCATTATTATTATTATTAAGCAGGGGGGCGCGGTGGTGGTAGCAGTTGAGTCAAGGACCTTCCTTCTTTGGCTCTCATGTCAGCAGTAAAGTTCGCACTGATGAAACTTCTGACTCTGTTTTGATCCTGCTACTGCTCTTGTGTAATTTTGTTCCTTTGTGAGTAGGTCACTGTTCCCCCTTGGGGGTTTTTTGGCAAAGGGATGGCAGGTGAGCTGGATTCCAGCCCAGATAAGGACAGCGGGTGGATTTTAGGCAGAGCATTACTTCAGGGTCTGTGAGTCTTCTGTATGGCTCTCAGGTGGTAGAGCTGCCCTCCCTGTGACACCTGCTACTTACCTTGCTGGGGTAGCACTGCTATGTTTCTACACATCAACAAAAACTCTTTTGACCTGTCCCATTATCTCCCCTTCATCCCAGGTCTGGTAAGACTGCACCAGGTGCTCCTTAATCTTTCTTCTGACATAATTAATAAGGGAATAATTGCCGCCTTGGTAACCTTCTCTTTCCCAAATGAATGAGCATACCGTTTCCCATAAAATGTGGAGAGGGATGTTTGGGAGTATCCCCAAGTTGGATTGCTGGTGTGACGCACAGGAAGGGATAGTGGCAGAGCTGGACACCTGAGCCACACCTAGGCCACATTCGTGCTGCTGCTCCCCTGCCTCCAACCCCCGTAGGCCCTACAGCTGCAAATTGCTCCCTTCAGGTGCATGGTGCAGCTATTTAGCACCCTTGGAGCGCGGGGCAGGGTAATCAGGGCTGCACTGAGCACATGGGGTGTTTTGATTAGTAATTATGTATAAGCTCAGCTTTAAGCCTTTTATCTTTGTGTTGGGGTGGGTGGGTGGGAGGGTACAGCAGAGCTGAGGAAACTGCAGCACCCCATGGATCACTTGCAAAAGGTAAATTTGCCCAGGGGGCTCTGGCTGCAGCCCATTGTTGTGTAAATTAATCTTGCCTGCACAATCTAATGGCCGGACAGTTTCCTAAAAGCCTGACAAAAGACCTCCAGACCTGTCCCGTTCATTTCTAAGTACTAAATAACAGCTGCTCCACTCACCTTTGTTCTGCAAACAGCCCCTTCCAAGGCCACAACGGAGCTGCGGCGGCCAGGGACTGAGGTTGAGCTATTAGTGGCCTTTTATCAAGTCCTGCAGGGCATCTTTCCCTGCAAATTCCCAGGAAGCCCAGGAAACATGAGTATCATCGGGGAAGCTTTTGTCCTTGGGAAGTCAGCAAGGTGTGGCCAAAATACAGCTTTTTTTTTTAGTTTTGTTTTTCCTTGGCTACTCTAGGTTTCTCCTTTTGTGCCCTTCCCACTCAAAAGCAGGGCATGTCTTGGTATCTTCTCCGTGGCCTTTGTTTTCCCTGGCGTGCTTCAGGGGCCGGGGCAGTGGCAACCAGTATTGCTGTTTTGGTTGGAGGTTTGGAGAACAACACAAACCCCACTCACCCACTGGAGCAGACACACCCCGGGAGGATACAGCTGTGTAGTGGGAGCTCCCGGATTGTGTCCCGGGGAGGGCAGAACATCTATGTGGGCAGCAAGACTCCCCAGCAGCTGAACTTTCCCTGCAGAGGCTGTGCCTGCCCCGAGTGCTCCAGGCCATGTGGCAAGGCCTTGTGCCGCAGTGGGAGAGGTTCAGATCCTGCAACTTCTTCATTTCCATAGGAGGGACTGGGTGTCCTCACACCTACAGTAGTGTAAGGTCATGGGATGATGGAGAGCTTTGCTAGCAAGCTTCTGGATGTCTGGTAGACGTTTCTTTAGAGGTGTCCTTGTCTGGTTGCTTGGACTGCTGCAAAGGGAGGATTGTTTTGGTGTAAGTTGACGCATGCTGCTGGTGATTTGAGAAACCTTCTGCTTTCAGCATGTCTGCATAGCTACAGATCACCTGTACAGGTGTTTTTTCCAGCAGCTGTGCTCAACTGGGGGCTTAATGGAGTCTGGGATGTGCTTTTATTCAGGCAATAGGAGGGTTACATTTCATGGCCTGCATGAAAAGCCATGTATGGCTGCATGCATAGAAGAGCAAAAGCTACCCAGCTTCAATGTTTTGGTAGTCCTCTGCCATCAGCTGTGAAGCTAACTCAGCTTTGTGCTCTGCTGAGGATGTGGAATGGGACCAGACAGGAGGGTTCCTGGTACAGTTTCTGGAAGTCCTTGCTGAGACCCTCTTGTGTTCAAAGTGGGCCCTCTGGGTCCTATCTGGACTCCTTCAGCAAAAGATACTCATTTCCATGTTTGGTGTTGCTGGGAGAGGTTCTGTGCTTGAGACAAGCTGAGACTCATCTACCACTTCATCACCAAAGCAAGTACCTCCACAATGAGCCTTTGTGCCCCAGCCCAGAAAATAAACAAGGGTTTGAATGCCCTCTGGGTCAAACAGCATCACTCAAATGTGAAATCTTCTCTCCTGCATTTTTGCCACCCTGGCTGAGCCTGTTTCAGGAGAGGGGGAAGGGGGACAGGGGATGGGAAGGGTCATCTTGGAGCTATTGCTGTTTTTGCTGTGATGCTGGGGGAAAGTCGGGAGGTTGTGTTTTAAGCTAGTAGGAGGGACAAATGTGTCCTAATCATTTGTCACCTCATCTTCAGATCTGGAATAAGCAGGTAGAATCTGATGGTATCTGTGCTTTCATGTGGGTTAAGATTTAATTTGCTGCTGTGTTTCTCAATCCCCATTGCCTTCTCCTGATATTGAATTATATGAACACTGTCTCACTTGTGCTGTGCTTTCTCAAGATAGAGGGTTACCTGGAATGCCACCGAGGCTGTTCCTGTTTAGGTGCCAAGTTGAGTCTATAGTGGGGGGGAACTGGAGTCTGTTGCAATACACTGCTAGGATTGCTCTGCTAGCAGCTTTTCCTAAGCAGCTTTATTAAAGTGTTACTATGTGTTACTAACCCTCTTGGTAAGGGAATTTTCAGGCTTTGTGGGAAAACAGGCTGCCTACATGTCCTCTACACAAGTCTCTGGAAATGGTGGTCATGCACGTTGTGTATTTTGCAGAGGAGCTTTCTCCAAAGCAATTTTTTTGTGACTGCAGGAGGGCATCAAACTATTTGTATTCCCTTTGGGACAGGCAGAGTAGATAGAAGGCTATTTTTGCTTGTTTACCTTGTCTTTGATGATGGGCATACTCTTGAGACCTTTGGGCCATCCCATTCCAGCAAGAAACAGGGTCTTTCCTGTGTGCTTGCTGCCCGAGTGCTCTCTGGCTGGTGTTGTGGCTTCTGGAGAGATGTCTAAAAGGATTTAGGATAAAACACCTGAAAGTAGCATAGTGTGTAGGGTCCCTACAAGGGCTGCTAAGGGGGCCAAAGCCTCTTAAGATGCTAGCAGGCTTTTAGACCCACCCAGCATGAGTGTAGAGCATGGCAGATCTTTGCTGATCTTTGAATTTGCTCCTGCTTGTTCAGATCTTCACCATGTTGCTTGCCTTGCAAAAACTTCTGTGTGTTGGCTAGGCGGAGCAGTGGGACCTCAAATCCAGCTTGTTTCAGGAGGTTCACCTTTCCTGAAACTGCAGTGGGAGCCTTTGAAGGCTGCTGACTGCTCTTCTAGGTAGAATGCAGCATATTTCTATACTGCAAGATGCTTGTAACCTCAGGGGAACTTCCACTGTCAGGGTTTGCAAGGTATAGTATAGCATCTATACTTCATCTCTATTTTGCCATCACTTTGCTGCAGGGAAGGCCCTTTGGAGGGAAGGATAAGTCCATGTGAAAATATGCAGATAAGCCAGTAAATGAGAAATCTCCCATCAGAAAAATCTGTGTTTCACTATAATGATGACTTTTGCATTATAAACAGGCATTGCAAAAATCCCATGGCACCTTCCCAACAGCTTCACTCTAGCTTAGATAATACACACAAGATTAATAAGGGAATGTGATGACAGAAAAAATACCCCCCAAACTCTTGCTGCAAAGTCCTTCCTTACTACTATGCAACTACCAGCAATTATATCTGTGCCAGATAATGGTTGTGGGAAGGATGTATTTTTTTTCAACCTAGGATTCAGATAAGTGTATGTCATGTAGATTAAGTCAAAGCTGGATAGTAACATGTTTTTTTAAGAATGGATTCACTATGAAGCCTGTGAGAGCTGATATGTCATTTTTTATGGCTTTATATAAAGCTGTGACCATTTATGGTGGTGTGAGGGGTTCACCTGTGTTCTGTTAGCTGTTCTAGCACTTACTGCTTTCCTACTAATAGATATTTTCAAGACAGGTCGATAATTACTAGCTAGCAATAAAAAAAGGCTTCCAAGTAAATTGTTTTATATTGGTAACACATTATGTTGCTACCATCTGATAACAGTTGCTGGGTGTCCAGTACATCTGTCTACCCCCGTGCCAGGCCCTTTTTTCCCCTCCCTGGATTCCTGATGCTGCCCAGGCTTTGTCATGTAAGGTGGTGATACCTGTTCCCTTTGAGACTTTTGTTGCAGCAGCAAGGAATGCACGGGGAGATCTTGTTTCTCTGTAATATGATCGATGTTATAAAAGGCAAGTTGCTGTGCATTTCTACCCATTGTGAGCCTGTCCTGTTTGCAGCTTGAGGCAATTCTGCGTGTTGCTCCCCCTTGGAATAGTCACAAAAGCTTGTGAAAGGGAACTACTACCAAACTAGTCTTCTCAGCCTCTGGGTGTGCAGCTTCTACTGGCAACACGGTTGGTAATGTGTACATAGTGACTAATCACCTGTATGATAATTAACCACAGTAAGTGCACTGCACATATTGCAAAAGCGATAGGGAGACAAAAGTGGTGCTTCCCAGAGTCTGCCCGAGCACATGGCAGCCAGCTTGGGGGCAAGGGAGTGTGTCTGGCTAATATTGCACTGCTCTTGCACCAAAACATCTCAAAATAACGGGGAGCTTGTTCTGAAAACACTGCAGTCTGAGTTAATGTTGCAGAGCTCTGATTTTCTAAATGCATCTGCCTTCCTCCATGCAATAAGGAGGCTTGAAGACCTCAGGTTGAGGAGCACTTGGGGTCCTCCAGGTTCTGCTGCTGAATTTCAGAGGCTCTGGGAGATGCTCACAGCATATTTTGATGTTCACAGCGTATTTCATACCTGCTGCAACTGAGATAGCAGCTTTTGTTCAGCTGTTCTTTTGAGATTTTTTGAGATTGCATTCTGTTAGCTTGAGCATTTCAGAATTCTTTCAAAACCTTCTTTACAGTTTACTCTCTGCAGCAAAGCTACAGACGTGATGAAACAGACTTAGTAATGCTACAGAAAATGTTTGTTTCCCATGCAAAATAGCAATTATTGTGTTCAGTCACTAGCCTCTTCAGAGCTGTTGTGATAGATTGGTCTTAAATGTATGTTGGCTGAATTGGTTTTGTATGTGATATCCCATCAGTTGAGTTTGCTCTAAATTCACATAACTTTTCATTTAGCTTACATTTTTCACGTTCAATATCTGGCTCTGGAGATGTATCGTTTGCTAGCTTGAGATTTGTATTGGGATTCCACTGTTTTGATTTATGCTCAAGTGATAAGTGGCTTCCAGCAATCAGTGATGCAGCAAATGTTTGATTAACATTTGGCTATACTCTTCTTTAGAGGAAATAAGAGAGAAAGCCATTTAACCAAGCTAATTGTGGGCTGTCTTTCCCAAGAAAGACAAGCCTCTTAGGAAAACAAGTAATTTCCTACTGCTCTGTGCTCTGAACTTTGCCTGTATTGTGGTGGTGTTCACTAATTTCATAATATGCCCTCAGACCACTTTGAGTTTCACCTGTTAAGAGGCAGGGCCAGATTTACCTCAAACAGAATTGAAAGCTGATGGACTATCTGCTCTAGCTGCTGTGTACTCCTGGTGCCCTCCTTTCCATTGAGCATCTAGTCCTATGTGCTCTTGTATCGTAGAAACTTCAATTCCCTCATTTCCTGGGTAGTAAAGATCAGCTTTTCTCTCTTCTCCTCTGCTCATTCTTCCAATGTTTTAATCATTTGGAAGTTTTTGGCATTAATGATGTTTTCTTGATTTTTTTTTTCACTTAATGCAAAAAATCTGTGTAAAATCAGATGTGTATATAAGGTTAGAATTTCTGTTTCTGAGTCAACCTAAAACCAAGCCTTTGATAAAGAAGTTTATTAGGCTTGTTTGCTTAGAACCTGGATAAGTGTAGCTCATCATCTCACACTAGTTCTTCAAAAACCAAGAGACTGTTAAAACACTTGTTCGTGAAGTATTTAGCCTGCTAGGCTCAACTATTTTAACTTTGCTGGGGAAAAAAAAATCACCACCTCTGTCAGAACTAACTTTCTACCTTCTAGGACAAACTTACAGTTTTAACAAAAAAAAGAAATATCTAATTTGACAGTGAAGTATCTATAAAATGGCTTTGGAAGTGTTGAGCAATAAAGGGGCCCAGCTGAGTGCTGTGAAACTATTCATATGCATGGCACTATTCATATTTAAACATAGACCCAAAGGTTTTCTTCAAGGAACAGCCTAAACTTGAATACTACTTTGAATACTACTTTGATAAACAGATATCCTTCCAATTGGAATTCAAATGGTCAGGGAACAAAGTTGTGTGAAGGCAATTCCCAGGTCATTTCCGACAAAAAATCTGCATGTCCTTGTTTGCCATGCACTTTAGAAGAAGTTGAAATCCCAGTGCATGACAATCTCAAGAGTTTAAGTGGGGAAGAAAAGAATGTCTTGGTTGTATTCTGAATAGCACAGGGCAAAGTATTTGAATGCATGATTTTGATAGGAAACCCAGTAACTATATTAGTTTTTATTTGTATTTCAGACTTTCTCTTTATGGTAACTCAAATCCTAATGTCTTTTAGGCAGTCTTCAGGCCACTCGGGCATTGATGGTGGCTGCAATTCTCCTGGGCCTTGTTGCCATATTTACTGCTGTGACCGGCATGAAATGCATGAAGTGCATGGAAGAGGACCAGGTGAAAAAGATGCGCATGGCTGTCTTTGGTGGAGTGATTTTCATCATTGCAGGTTGGTAACATACATGCATTTGACCTTAAATGTGCCATGCTCCAAGAGCATGGGAGTGTGGAGGACAGAAGCACTAGCTCTTGGCTCTCCCAAGGCACCAGATAGATTTCTTGCCTCAGCACTATGCTCCCTGTGGTGGGTGCTTTGCTCTGCCACTCATCTCCATCAGCAGAGCTGGGCTGACCTAGATATGCTGATAGAAAACGTTTGCCAGAATCCTCTTCTGGTGTGTCTTGTGTGGGTGGCTTAAATACCTCTTTCCCATCCAGGTCTAAGCAATAGCTCGGACTTTCCCAGGGTGGTAGCAGCCCAGCATCATTCCAGATACTTGTTCTGTGACACTTTTTTTTTTGTAGTGTTTTTTGTTGATTTTATTAAGCAGTAAGACGTGTGTGTTCTCTCACCTGCAGGAATGGCAGCGCTGGTGGCCACGTCATGGTATGGCAACAGAGTGGCTCGGGCCTTCTATGACCCTTTCACCCCTGTCAACACCAGGTACTGCCTCATTCTGTGCAATGCATGAACACTTCATGAAATTGTTATGTAGAGCATGGCAAATGTTCACAGGGTATAGTTATGATGAACAGTGGCTCAGAGCAGGAGAATTTCTTGAACTACTTGGGTTGGCTTTCCTACTGGACAGAAGTAGGAACGTTGTGATTAGATCTCATCATTACGGTGGCTCTTGCAGTAACACCAAGGTTTAATGCAACATGATTGCAGCAGCCTAGTTTGGTCTTTTTTTTTCCTACTACTAAGTGTCTAAGGCTTAGCTTTTATAGAGCTTGGCCTCTTATGGTCTTGCTGAGCAGACTGGAATAAAAATGTGTGCAAATCTTTGTAGGCCTGAAGGTCAGCAGAGTCTCAAGTCTCTGTCACTTTAAAGCGCCTGCCTTGTAGGAAGCCACTTGCATAAGGGTTTCAGCCCCCTCCTGCATCTTGTGAATGTGTTTAAAACAAGCACTGTCTGTAATCCAGGGGCATTGCCTGCAGTATTTACTTTCTTCCTTGTTTCTCCCACAGGTTTGAATTTGGATCAGCCCTCTTCATTGGCTGGGCAGCTGCTTCTCTGGCCATACTGGGGGGAGCCTTCCTGTGCTGCTCCTGCCCCCGGCAAGAAACCTCCTATCCACCCACCCGAGGCTATCCCAAAAATGCCCCCTCCACAGGGAAGGATTATGTATAATGAAACGAAGAAGAGGAGCCATGAGCACTGGTAGTGAAGAAGCCTCTGGAGAGGACACTACAATGCTACTGTCCTGAACAGAGCTGAGACTTCCCAAGTTCTGCCTTCCTCTTCCCCCCCTCTAAATGTGTATATTTTTGTATCCTCTTTGCTACAGGACATAACTTCTCTTTTTTTCTCCCAGCCCGTGGAGGAAGGCTAGCCTAGGCTCATGCCTCTTGTCACTGGAAAGATGAAGCCTCTGAGCTTGGGTTAACTTCAGTATTTGGGAGTAAAAGGGAAAATGATGCTGTTTTTAGATGGATGTTGGTGCTTTTTTTAGTATTTTTGTTTGTTTTTTTGTTTTTTAATTAGATGGTAACAATTCAGTCTTAATACCCATTAAGTTAGAGCCCATTATGGGGGGTGCATAGGAATTAAAAACACTTATGAGTGCAAAGTCATAAAACCAATGCTAAGGGGATACATGGTTTTAGGGCAAAGACTTTACATGTAGGAATGCTTGAGGATTCTACAGTGCTCTTTTACTCTCATTGGCACTCTTATCTCTACACAGATTGGCAGGATTTAAGGCAACTAAAACAGTTGTCCACGTGCATGTTGCTGACCAACAGAAGATACAGTGTAATGTGACTTGGCTTAATGCCATGTCACTCTTACTGAGATCTGGTAAACTGATTGTGAACTCCCAAAGAAACTGCAGGCTTTCTGGCTGTCCAGGAAGCTAGTGAAAAAAGGATTTCTTTCCACTTTTCCTGGCTGAGCACTGCCATTGGTTGTTTCTGATACTCCAGCCCTAAAAATCTAACTTAAATCTCCAATTTTTCCCTTGTGTTACAAGGTACCTCTAACAAACTCCCCTTTCTTGGAGTTGCTTCACTAAAGTGCTGGCTTGTACTTTCTACCTCTTGGTTTTGTCAGATGTGTGATGTTCTCCTTTGAAGTCTCTTTCTCCATGTCTTGTGTCCTGGTGATCCTGCACCTATTGACATGTTCCAAAGATGGCCAGGACTTCCCCACCTCTTCAGTTTCAGGCCAGTGTCTCTGCTGCAGCCTGGAGGGATTAAGAAATGCCCCATTTTTTTTTCCATGAATGCTCTCCACATGGAGCACAGACACGTAGACGTGCTTTACTGCTATACACAATTCCCTATTCAAACTGCTGTTCTTCTATTTCAGACTTTTCTTGAAACTACTTAACCTCTGCCTTCTCCCTCCCTCACACATACCAGATCTATTAACTTAGTTTCTCTTGGTTGTTCATGCATTTAAATCCTAGGCTAGTGTCTGGATTGACTTTCATGTATCTGTCCTCAAGCCTGCAGTTTTAATTTGGAATGTTATGAGTTACTGGTCTGTTTGCCTTACACAGCTAAACGTTAAAACAAACAATGCTTTGCCAACCCTTGATGTTTTCCCAAGGATACCTCAGATAATGTCATTTGCTTCTGTCTTTTTTTATCTTCTAAGCATTTTCAGTGATGAGATATGAAGGCATATTTCAAGAAAACTGACTTAAGGTTTTAGCATCTTTTTAATCCAAGCTCAAAGAGGAAGAAACCCAGCTTTTTAAAGATATCATTACATATAAAGTCATATATGAAAAAAGCAGTTAGTAGAAGGTTCCAACCCCTTCCTCTGAAACACCCCATTTTCAGTGTTTTTAACAAACTGAATGAGGTTGGCTAGAGTTTAAATTTTGTAATTCCTAGAAGGATGGTGTCAACTCTGTAAAGCTCAAATGTACTGTTCCTAAGGAAGAAAGTTGGTAGCTTCTGTCCAGGCTTGTAATTGTGTACATGTTCAGAGGCATCTGTTCAGAGGCATCAGTCTTTGATTTTATTTCTGCAGATAGGGAGAGCCGCAGGCTGAGGGAGCTGTGTACAACCATGGTGTTAGTGGTTTATGTGTAAGCCTTGTACCTCTGTTTGACCTCGCTCTCTGCAACATGAATCAAAGTTACTAAAAGAAACCAACCAAAGCATCTGCTTTTGGCTTGAGTGGATGTTGGCCTGTGTTTGGAGATGGCTCCTGCAGCTTCCCTTGCTCCACGTGGAGCTGCCTGTGCACGACGGCTGCCTCGTGTGACCTCGTCTCGAAGTGGCAGCTCAGGTCGTCTCAGACAACGGTTGTGGTCTGTGCTTTTGTATTTGCATTAACCCTGAGCCAGGGAGCAGATGCTTGTATTGGGAATTTGTATAAAGTGTTTAAACAATTTCAATAAATTGACTTTTTTTAAAGAAAATCAGACTTATTTAATTTGTTGGGGGTAGAACTCAGATGGTGAGCACGGAAGAGGATTGCAGCCCGTGCTCTTGGGCGCCTGCCTGCCGGGATTGCACTTGCTCTGCTATGTGTATCTGCCGCAGATGAAGGTGGGGACAGCTCTTCTGCAGTGAGTCAGATGCCTATGGCCTCTGGCACAAACTCGCCCAGTAATCATCAGCTGCGATTGCAGCCCAGGAACCAGGAGGTCCGTTCCTCTTCAAGGCACACCGCACCCCGGGTGGAGCAGGGAGATGGGCTCCCTGACAGGGGGAAGCTGCAGGAATGGGGATGGGACAGGGTGTGGAGCTGCGATGTTCCTTGCTGAGATACTCTGTTTTGGTGGTGCCTTGGGTTCAGAAACCTTGTCTAGAGAACAAGAGCCAGCTGTGCTTTTCTATTTTTTTTAATGCTCTATGTACTTTTATTGCCTTTCTGGCCAAACAGGATCATGGAGAGGAGCCCTTGAAGGTGCTGCAAGGATGCCCTGCACGCAGAAACCTTGCTGGAATATTTCATGCTTCCCTTGGCTATGATAGCACCTGCAAGCGGCTGGGTGTAAACTTTACAGACTGCACAATGCCTCCCATCTAGCACTAGTTTTCAGTGATCTCTGCTGCTGTTTGTCCCTGGGAAACAAGGAGCAAATCCCCTTTCCTTCTGCTTTCCCCGGAAGCCTGTTTCTATTCCCAGGGGCCTTTGGCATTCCCCTTTTGTTTTGAGTACATGAAATACGAGGCAAACTTTGTGTTCAAAACTTTCATACAGTCAGTCAAGAAGCTGTCTCTGTTTCCTTATTTTCCGAGGGCTATTTGCTTTTTCTGCTGCAAACAAAAAGAATAGAGCTAATTAGGGTTGTGTAAAGCTGGCAGAGCAAAACAGACAGGCATGTGGCTGGCTGAGTGAGCTTGCACTGCCTGGAGCAGACTGGTTGCCTGGCATAGTTTGGGGTCTACAGTCATTCTTATTCCAACCTGTCAATTAGTCAAGGATTTCCATTGAGATTAATTTTTTTCCCATGTTTTTATGCTTTTGTGCATGCTCTGTCTCCAAGGGCTATTACAAATTCTGCTCTGAAATTTCCTATTGCAGAAGTGAGGTGCTAGGCAGACTGAAAAGGAAAGAATAACCCCACCTATAAAATGAATAGTAGAGCTTTTTGTTTGTTGGTTTCTGGCACAAATAGGGCACTCTATGTGATATGTACCTGTTTGAGACAGCAGCTGGGAGAAAGGGCCCAGAGGCTGAGCTCCTTGTTAGCTATAATTCCAATTTAGCAAAGCTCGCAACCAAATCTGCAGCTTTATAGGGTTCTGCAGCTGTTAGTAGGAGGGTGCTGAATAAGCCAAGGTGAGGATGTTCCATTTGTGAATAAACGTGATTTTATGTGGTCACGATCCTAATTTCAGTCCAACTGTGATAACTCTTAATATCCAGCAATGAAGACAGGTATTTGGAGGACTTTGTATTCTAAAGCTTTGCCTGTCGCACTTGGGTCAGTTCTTGCTTCCTTTCTCCTGCTTAGGAGGGCTCTTCCAGTTCTTACACAGTCATGCAATTTCACTTGCCCAAATTTTCTATATCTTTTGTCATATCTGTTGTTGGTTTTGTAGCAAAGCAGAGTGATGTGACGTGGGTGGGAAGCTGGTGAAGGGTTTCCCTTTGGATTTCAAGCTTTGTGTGTTGCCTTGAGATACCTGCTGCTATAAACATCTTGAAACGAAGTGATGGCATCTGTCTGTGCAGACAGTGGGAACTTTGACTGCTTCTTGGCATCTTCCTCCACACACACTATTTATTCACATAGAGTGCCAGAGTTGTGTATATGTCTGTATTGTATATATGCCTAAACACTCCAACAATAGCAGAATGCTTCTTCCAATGTCTTACACTAATGTCCACCTGAATAAGCAGCTTGCAGGTGGTTGTATTAGCAGAGGGAATGCAGTCAAATCTAGTGTTACAAAACTTCTCCATTGGTTCCTGTAGCCAAACACAGTCTAGCCAGCAAGCAGTACCTACTTGCCTTTGCAAGCCATTAGGATCTCTCCCTGCCATTTTCCTTGCTGTGGCTTAGTGCATGAGTATCAGAGGAGTTTGCTGGTGTCACCCAAAGCAGAGGTTACGTACAAGCGAGGCTTCTTTTCTCCTTGTCCACATGAATGGCTCTTTGGAGACACGAAGCAGAGGAAGGCAGAACTCTGAGCTCTTTAACTGTATCCATAGAGGGAGCTTACCACTGCCTGTTTCTTCTTCCTTTGGCTTTCATTTCTCTCTCAAGTTGCATGTGATCCATATTGTGTATATTCCATCAATGAGGGTTACGCATCTCACAAAGTCCTCTTAAAATTTTCATGAGTCCCACCACTCAGGTCAAAATTTCCCTTCCCAATCACTCTGCTAGGATGTCTGTTGTCCCTATGGAATTACCAGAGGGACAGAATTGCTCTTCACAGGCATCATCAAACGCACTATTTTTCCTGCCATTCAGGCACAAGGGCCATCCAGTTCTGCTCATGCAATCGGGCAGCTGATTTGGTTGTTCAAACCTGGCCCTTTGCTTGAACCAGAAGCAGTTTTTCCACTATTTCCTCATTGTCCTCTTGCATTAGTCTCTTTATTCCTCCAACTGCATAGGTGTTTCAGTTTACTTGGTTTCCATTTTCCTACTTTAGAAGCTCAGACTGTGGCTAGGAGCTGCTTCTTCTGTAACATGCTGCTCTCAACCCTGTCTGCAGTTCCCTCACAAATCCTGCACACTGTGGCATGTGCATCACTGCGCAGAAAATGAAAAACACTTCTTTGTTGAGCCTCATGTGCTTGTTTGGAAAACATCCCAACTCCTACAGCTTTTCCAGAAAAGCCCTGCCTGGATTCCTAGCATACTGCTTCGGGGACATGGTGTATCTAGGGTCTGCAGTTCCTAGAGGGACCTGCCAGAGATACTTCCCCCCTTAGTCCATGGGAGCCTGTGCACGGTTCTGCTCTGCTCCAGCCTGGGGTCCCAGCTGTGGCCAGGGGCTGGAGCACAGACAACCCATCCAGAAACTTTGTTTTGGAGGCACTGAGACTAGAATCAGCCCCTACCAAGTTTACCAGCCAAGCCTAGGAGGAGGTTTCAGTTCAGAAAATTATTCTCTTATATGAAGGCATTTCCATGTGCTCATTTTTATCTTAATTCAAATCTCTCCTTTTCAGCCAGCTCCAGCCCTGAGCCTTGCTCTTCTTCTACCCTTCTTTTGTACAGTTGTCCAGGTCCTCCTCCTCCTCGAGGAAGGACTTCCAAGTCCTTGTATCATGGGATCCATCTGACCATACCAGGCTGGTCCTGATAGCAGCTGCATGATGCGAGCCAGGAGCGTATTCTGAGGCACTGCACAAGTCCTATTCTTATATTAATATAAGAATCTCTGTGCTCCCTCTACCAGATCACAAAGTGCCATACCTGAGACAGGTATGTCACTGGCGTTGGTCCAGAAAGGTGAAGGATGTCTGTCACTGTATTTTCACATCAGGGCTGAGAGCAAACCCTCTCATCACAGCTAAGGACCTCCTTTGCCATTCCCAGCTAGAGTAGCCAAGACTGAGGGGTTCAGAGAGAACTTTTGCATGTGCCATGTGGCCTGCAAGGAGCTTTCCATGAAAAAAAGAGAAAAAAAAAATCTATCCTCAACCTCTAATGAAGGTAATGACTCTTATATTTAACCTGGGACACACAGAGCAGTGTTCAGCAGGTGGGAGGAGTGGGATGCTGGTGCTCCCGGCTCCGCACTGGGTCAGCCTGGTGGCCACAGCCTCCGGGCTGCCTCTGGAGCCAGCGCTCCCGGCAGGAGAGCAGCAGGGGAGCCATAAAAACAAGCTCAGCCAAGGGGAAAAAAAGCAAGAAATAGCATTCTTATTACAAGGTAAACAGCATTAACTCCATCTTGGGGGAGCAGAAACAACACAGCGGCGAGAGGCTGCTCTGCCCGGGAGTCCTGGAAGGGCGGTGGGGCTCTCCCCACCCTGCTCTTATGTAACGCTCCCCACGCCGCCGCCGTAAATAGTCATTTACCTGTGTGTACTCCTCTTTCGCTGCTTTTATAGGCTTTTCCTCATAAAGGCGGCTCCCGGGGGGAGAGCCCCGCTGAGCTGAGCGCCTGGCACGGCCTCGTGAGCGGAGCCGCCTGCGCTCGGCCTGCCCGCTCCCCTGGGCCAGGGCCGGAGCGATTAGCCCCAGATCCCGGCTCCCGCACACAGCGCTTCCAGCTGCGGCAAGGGGGATGGGAACGTGTGGGTTGTATTTGTTTTTATTCCAGCGAAAAGAGCTCAGCGGTTCGTTTTAATTACTTTTTTTTTCCAGACCTGTAACGACGTTTTCTCCACAACTTGCAGTTCTCCAGAAATGCACTGATTAAAGCGCAGCCGCCAAAACACATCTGACGGAGACGCGAGCCTGCCTGTTTACCTCACTCTGGGAGTTCACAGCAGGTGCTCCGGGGAGTTGTTCCGTCCTTTCCCCGTTCCAGGTGCCCGTGGGACACCAGTGTCCAGCAAGTATCCAGTTTCAGGCAACAGGAGCGGCTCCACACGGAGCGCAGGGAGGTGGGAGCACAGCGAGCTTGTGCCCTCCTGCCCCAGGCAGCTGCAGCTTTGGGGCGCTCTGGGGCCCACAAAACTAAGGATGGGCATTGAGAGCTTCCTCCTGCATCTTCAGCTCACCTCCCAGGGCTTCTTCCAAGGGCAATCACACTGCCCAGGACCCCCAAACCCAAACTCTACCCAAAGGTGGGAAGGGAAGGCAGGTAGCTGTCAGACCTACACATCTATCATTAGCCCCAGCTCTTTCATCCTTTAGAAAGAAAATAACGATTTTTCCTTTCTTG